TGGATATCCACATGCAAAAGAATGAAGTTGGACTCTAGTACTACGCACAAAAACAAACTCAAAATTGGTCAAGAACCTAATGCAAGACCGAGAACAATAAAACTCTTAGAAGCAAACATAGGAGGAAAGCTCATGACGCTGGGTCTGGCAATGATTTCTTAGAGATGACATCAAAGACACAACAAAAAAATAAATAGACGGACTGGACTTCATGAAAACTTTCAAAATTGTGCATCAAAAGACACTATTTACAGAATAAAAAAGCAACAGAATGGGAGAAAATATTTGTAAAACATATCTGATAAGGGATTAACATCCAGAATATGTAGGGAACTCCTAAATGTCAACAACAAAAAAACAAACAGGCCAATTCAAAAATGGGCAAAGGACTTGAATAGACATTTCTGCAAAGAAAGTATACGAATAGTCAATAAATACATGAAAAGATGCTCAATATCACTAATCATTAGAAAAATGCAAATAAAAAACTACAGTGAGCCCTGGTTGGTTTGGCTCAGCAGTTGGAGCGTCGGCCTGCGGACCAGAGAGTCCCGGGTTCGGTTCTCGCTAGGGGTACATACCAAAAAAACAAACAAAAAACTACAGTGAGACATCACCTCACACTCATTAGCATGGCTACTATTTAAAACAAACAAACACAACCCTGGCCAGTTGGGCTCAGTGGTTAGAGTGTTGGCCTGCAGACCAAAGAGTCTCAGGTTCAATTCTGGTCTAGGGCATGTACCTCAGTTGTGGTTTGGTCCCCGGCCCTGATCAGGGTCATTCGGAAGGCAACCAAGCAATGTGTCTCTCTCATATCAATGTTTCTCTCTCTCTCTTCCCCTCCCTCCCACACTATCTGAAAAATCGATGGAAAAATATCCTCAGGTAAGGATTTAAAAAAACACAGAAAACAATTGTTGGTGAGGATGTGGAGAAATAGGAACCCTTGTGCTCTGCTGGCTGAATGTAGAATGGTGCAGCCACTATGGAAAACAGTGTGGAGTTTCCTCAAAAAGTTAAAAATAGAATTATTAGTGGGGGTGGGATTGGGAGGAGGGTGTCAATGGGGGAAAAAGGAGAAACATCTGTAATAAAAAAAAAAAATAGAAGTTTATATGATCCAGCAATTCCACTGCTGGGCATATGCCCCAAAGAACTGAAGGTAGGGTCTTGAAGAGATATTTATACACCCATGCTTATAGCAGCATTATTCACAATAGGTAGAACATGGAAGCAATGCAAGTGTCCATCGTGGTCTATATGTACAATGGACTATTATTCAGTCTTAAAAAAGAAGGAAATTCTGACACATGCTACAACATAGATGAACCTTGAGGACACTATGCTAAATGAAATAAGCCCGTCATAAGAAGACAAATACTGTATGACTGCATTTATAAGAGGAACTTGAGTAGTCAAATTCATAGGGACAGAGAGTAGAATGGTGATTATCAGGGGCGGAGAGGGGGAAGAATGGGAAATAATTGGGTCAGGGGCATAGAGTTTCAGTTTTACAAGATGAAAAGAGTAATTAGGATGGTTGTTGGTGATGGCTTCACAACCATGTGAATGTACATTACACAACCACTGACTGTACATTTAAAAATGGTTAGGCTGGCCCTGGCTGGTTTTGCTCAGTGGTTAGAGTGTGGGCCCGCAGATCAAAAAGTCCTGGGTTCAATTCTGGTCCAGGGCACGTACCTGGTTGTGGTTCGGTCCCCGGCCCTGGTTGGGGTCCTACAGGAGGCAACCAATCAATGTGTCCTTCTCACATCAATCGATGTCTCTCTCTCTCTCTCTCTCTCTCTCTCTCTCTCTCTCTCTCTCTCTCTCCCTTTCTCTCTCTCTCCCTCCCTCCCTCCCTCCCACTCTATCTGAAGATAAATTGAAAAACATCCTCGGGTGAAGATTTAAAAAAAAGAAACTAAATGCTAAAAAATCAAATAAAAACAAAATGGTTAGGATGGTAAATTTTCTGTTTTGTGTATTTTACAACAATAAAAATAATGTCCACCTACCACTTTGGAAGTCCACTTTGAGAACCTAGCAGAAGGAAGCCATCCAGAATGTGAGCAAAGCTCCAGCTCCTAGGACATTCACCACACTGGTGCCAGCAGAGGCAGCCCCACCTTTCCTGACACAGATAAACTGCCAGGCAGCCGAAATACCATCCTGCGGACAGATCTCCCCACCGGGAGGGGTGGGGGTTGTAATGGTGCATTCTCCTCTGATGGGTCCAGCCCTTTGTTAAATTACAGCCAAAAAATTCACTCACGGGAAGCCCTGTAGGCACAGCTGACTTTAAGCAACCTGTCCTCCCCCTACTTCTCTTCCTCCTCCCCCTCTCTACTCCTCGCTCCCTGAGGAAAAGGCCCTGGTTCCTTCTTCCTCCAGACAGCACGTGGTTCCAGCTCCCTGCCTCACACCCTCCAGTGTCCCAAGTGCCCCGTAAGAGAAAGCCATGACCTCTCCATTCTAAACACAGCTCCCCTCCCCCTCCCCTCCCCTGCTTTGTCTTTCTTCGCTGCAGACACCGCTGAGTCTCTGTGTTTATTGTCTGTTCCTACGGGCACACCAGCTTTATGGGGGCAGGGACTCTTGTTTTCCCAGACACAGCCAGGGCCTATCACAGGGCCTGGTGTGCGGTAGACACTGAGCAGATGTGTGTTGAGCAGGTTAATGATTGCAGGACAGAGCCGGAGCCAGAGTCTGTGTTGTCAGTGCCCGCTTCACATGGAGCAGGGGCATCTCTGGACCGAAAAAGCCCTTTGGCCATCTTACTCCTAAGAAGTTTCTGGGGGATCTTCTCCCTGTGTGGTCTAGCTTCTCTCCACTTCATCTCTCTTCACTTCTCTGCCTCTTCCCTTCCTTTTAGGAACAAATAGAGCAGCCCCACCCCACAGGAATGCTCAATGCAATTTGCCCTTCCCCACCTCCCCTCCATGTCCTGGTCCCTGCTGACTACTGGGTCCCACCCCAAACCTATCAAGGTATTTTCTCAACAATACTTCCCTGGGGGTGGGGGGGGGGAGGAGATAAGCCACAGAACTTATATGCATGTGTGCATGAACAATGGACATGGACAACAAAGCTGGGGACAGGTCAGGGAAGGGGAGGGGATCAATGGGGGAAAAAGGAGAAACATCTGTAACAAAAATAAATAAATTAATTTTAAAAAAACAATACTTCCTTCCCTGAGGGGAAGGTCCATGAGAGGGAAGTATAATGTCACATCTTGTTTTTTATGTAAAGCAGGAAAGAGTCCATGTGTATTAGGAAAAAACCAAACCCTATCTTAAAGTTTAACAAAGATGGATGTTGTTCAGCCATTCTACAGACAGCAGCGCAGCCACTTAAAATGACAGTATTGTGAAGGACAGACAATAGGGCAATAAAACAAAAGAACATACAGCTAAAGTACTGTGAAAACTTGTAGTTAAAATGTCCCACTTGGCAGACCTTGCCCTGGACCCTCAGAGGATTCCAGGAACTAGGGAGGAGGGAAGGAGACGGGCCTCAGCCGGAGCTGACCACTACACTGTGCAAATACCCCTCAGACACATGGCTAGCTGCAGATACCCGCGTCTGTGCGTGCTTGCGTGCTCGCGGACCTTAGCACAATTTCTTAACAGGGGCTAAGACAACTGTATAAGCAGCCCACCCCCTGAGCTCGGGGCTGCTCTCTCCTCTGCGCAGGGGGACAGTCGCTGCGCGGCTAATAAAGCTCTCTTCGATTGAACCCAGTTGGGAGTCTGAGTCTAGTCTGTCTCGTTACTACAACATTTGGAGGCCCCAGCGAGATAGACAAACAAGGTCCCCCACTTCGGTGGGTTGACCTCCTCACACTCAGGGAGACAGGTCCATCCCGGGAGCGGACAGGCGGTCTAGGGGTCCCCCCCTTCGGCGGTTGACCTCCTCACACTCGGGGAGACAGGTCCATCCCAGGAGCGGACGGGCAGTCTAGGGGTCCCCCCCTTCGGCGGGTTGACCTCCTCACACTCGGGGAGACAGGTCCATCCCGGGAGCGGACGGGTGGTCTAGGGGTCTCCCCCTTCGGCGGGTTGACCTCCTCACACTCGGGGAGACAGGTCCATCCCAGGAGCGGACAGGCGGTCTAGGGGAAGGCCTCGGAGAGACGTTCCTCTGCCCCGACGCCATTCTGCCCTGGAATTGTCTCCACTCCAAATTCCATCTAGAGAGCATCTGGAGACCCTGGGCCCAGGCTCAGCAGACAGGACATCCCCCGGTAAGTCTGTTTCTGAAAACTCTGCAGAGTGAGGGGAAGTGGATCTGCTGGATGCAGCACAGAGATCCTGCCCCGGGGCCAAAGCGAGATGTCGCTTTTGGCCCCGGTTCAGTTTATCTGGCAACCCCTTAGTCTGTCTTATTCGTTTGTCCTTTTGTGTTTTGTGTTTCTGGGTTATGCCAGCCTGTGTTCTTCAGAATGGGTCAGGGGCCTTCAGGACCCAAGACCCCTCTTCAATGCCTTCTTGATAACTTCTCAGATTTCTCCAAGCGCGCCTCAGGTCACGACGTCACGGTGGACCCTGGATCCCTGTGCACTCTGTGCGAATTGGAGTGGCCCACTTTCCGCGTGGGCTGGCCCTCTCAGGGCACTTCCGATTTAGGCTCTTTGTTTGCAGTTTGGGGTGTCATCTATGGGAATCCCGGACACCCAGACCAAATTCCCTATGTTGATGTTTGGATTGACAGCGCTACTGACAAGCCTAATTATATTAAGAAATGTTCATGCCCTGATAGGAAGATTTTAATTGCCCAGCCTCCGCGGAAGCTCAGAAGCCCTCGGCTCCTGCGCCTCCCGAAGGCTTTACCCTGTTCTTCCAGGGCCCCCAGAAGACCCCCTTCTGAACCCTTTGGGGCCACCCCCTTATCAGCCTCCGCCACCCGCTGCCGTTGCCAGAGAGGCTGAAGCCCTTCAGTCACTCAGTCCTCCCCATACCCGTGGCGCACCCCTTTTAACCCCCCTTTGCAGGCGCCAGACTCCTCGGCCGCCATCCTGCCCCTCCGTCAGGTTGCTCCACCACCGGGTGGAGACCAGACTCAGCCCTTCATGGTCTGTGTCCCCTTCTCGACTAGTGATCTGTATAATTGGAAACAACGGAACCCCTCCTTCTCTGATAAACCCCAAGGTTTCATCTCTCTCCTAGAGACAGTCTTCCACACCCATCAGCCCACTTGGGATGACTGTCAGCAATTGTTGCAGGTCCTGTTCACGTCTGAGGAGAGGGACAGGGTCCACAGAGAGGCAGCAAAATCCGTCCTCGGGACAGATGGCCAACCCCTCACGAATCTGGCCCAACTAGAGGCCCACCTCCCTACCCTCGAACCCGATTGGGACCCGAACACCTATCAAGGTAAGGAGGCTTTAGCCCAGTACCGCCGATCTCTACTCGGGGCCTCCGCGGAGCTGCTAGAAGGCCAACTACTCTAAGGTGAGCGAGACTGTTCAGAACGCGGGAGAGTCCCCGCGGCCTTTCTTGAATGTCTCACGGAGCCTTATCGGCTCTGTACCCCCATAGACCCAGAGGCCCCTGACAATAGACGGGCAATTAATATTGCCTTTGTCACCCAGTCAGCCCCAGGCATTAGAGAGAAACTCCAGACATTAGAGGCTTTTGAAGGAAAGAATCTTAGTGAATTAGTTGAAATAGCGCAGAGAGTATTTAACACCAGGGACAACCCAGAAATGGCTAATACCAAGAGTCACAAAGGGAGTCATAGCCGCTCTCAGGAGAATCGGAAAGAACAGCGGGAACTGGGCCTAAAAACACAGGACAAGCCCCACAGAAACCCCGGCCACCTCTGACCCTAACCAGTGTGCCTACTGCAAATATGGCCATTGGAAGAAAGACTGCCCTACAGGGGACCCAACAGAAACCTAAGGACCTCATCCCCCTGGAAGACACTGAATGAGGGGGCCGGGGCTCCTACAGATTAGGCCCCCGGGAGCCCAAGGTATCATTACAAGTTGGGGGCCGCCCTGTTGAATTTCTAGTTGATACTGGAGCCAACTTTTCTGTTCTAAAGGAGACCACAGGGCCACTCTTATCTGAGAAAATGCCAATTGTAGGGTTGACAGGGAAGTCCCGATCCTACCCTTGGACTACGGCGAGGATAACTGACCTAGGCAAAGGGACTACCACTCATTCCTTCCTAGTCATGCCGGACGGTCCCTACCCCTCCTTGGCCGGGATCTCCTCCAGAAACTGCAGGCCACCATCTCCTTCGAGCAGGAGGGCCCCACCCTGACCCTGGGGAACCGGCGGTCTCTCTCCTGCTCTCTGTGCCTTATCTGAGGAATACCTTCTGTTAGGAGAGCCCCCCAGAGAAATCCCAAATGCTCTCCTCGAGAGACGGAAGAAGGAGATACTGGGGGTTTGGGCAGAGACTAACCCCCCGCCCCCCCCCACCCCCCCGGCCTAGCGAAGCATCAGGCTCCAGTTATAGTACAACTAAGCAGCAATGCCTCCCCCATCGGGTCCGCCAATACCCCATCTCCATGGGCCAAGCTGGGAATAACTGCGCATATTAATAGACTCAGAGAAACTGACATTTTAAAACCCTGCCAGTCAGCCTGGAACACTCCCCTCTTGCTGGTTAAGAAGTCTGGGACTGAGGATTTTAGGCCGGTCCAAAACTTAAGGGAAGTAAACACTCGGGTGGAAACCATCCACCCCACGGTTCCGAACCCTTTCACGCGTCTGAGCCTGATCCCTCCTAGCCGTGTTTACTATACTGTCTTGGACCTCAAGGACGCCTTCTTTTTAATTCCTTTATTGCCTCTCAGCCAACCCATCTTTCCCTTCGAATGGGTTGATCCCGAAGGGGGATTCTCAGGACAACTGACCAGGACCCAACTGCCTCAAGGGTTCAAGAACTCTCCCACCATCTTCGATGAGGCCTTGAGCAAGGACCTCCAACTGTTCCGGGAAAGGTACCAACATGTCACCTTGCTACAGTATGTAGAGGATTTGCTTCTAGCAGCCGCTTCTCTTCCTGAATGTGAGGAGGCCTTGAAGGCACTCCTACTAGAGCTAGAACACTTAGGAGATCTGGTCTCAGCCAAGAAAGCTCAATTATGCACCACAACCGCGACCTACCTGGGTTATAAACTCAAAGGAGAACGGTCGCTCTCCAATAGCAGGATAGAGGCGGTCATGAAAATCCCTACCCCCACGACCAAGAGACAGGTACGGGAATTTCTTGGGGCTGTAGGGTACTGCCGCCTCTGGATCCCTAGTTTTGCCGAGATCGCTAAGCCTCTCTATACCAGCACAGGGGGGAAAGACAATGCCTCAATCTGGACTGAGATAGAACAACAGGCCTTTGAGAAACTAAAAAAGGCCTTAATGTCTGCACCGGCCCTAGCTCTGCCTAATATCACTGAGCCCTTTCAGCTCTTCCTCTCTGAGACCCGAGGCATTGCCAAAGGGGTCCTAACCCAATCATTAGGGCCCTGGAAGAGACCAGTTGCCTACTTATCTAAGGAATTAGACCCAGCTGCCTGCGGGCCATAGCAGCTACTGCTGTTCTAGTTAAAGAAGCGTCCAAGCTGACTCTAGGGCAAGGCCTCCAGATCATTGGGGCGCACTCTGTTGAGGCTCTCCTCAGGAGCCCTCCGGACCGGTGGATGTCTAATGCCTGGATCACCCAATACCAGATACTCCTCTTAGACTCCTTCTGAATCCAGTTCCTGAAGACCTCTGCCCTCAACCCAGCCACCCTGCTGCCTGACAATGACCCTCAGGCTCCCCTTCTTGATTGCTCAGACATTCTTGAGACTCTAACTAACCTGAGGTCTGACCTAACTGACAGCCCTCTCCCAACTCCAGAGCATGCTCTCTGTACAGATGGGAACAGCTTCATCCGGGAAGGAGTCCAATATGTGGGAGCGGCAGTAGTCATGCAAGACAAGGTCATCTGGGCCCAGGCACTAGGGCACGGGGCTCCAGCTCAGAGGGCTGAACTAATTGCTCTCACTCAGGCTTGAAGATGGGCGAAAGGCAAGTCAGTAAACATCGACACTGACAGCCGGTATGCCTTCGCCACAGCCCATGTCCACGGGCCCTCTACCAGGAAAGGGGACTCCTACCCTCAGGAAGGAAACAGATCATAAATAAAGAAGAAATTCTTGCCCTCCTAGAGGCCATTTGGCTACCAACAAAAGTGTCTATTATTCACTGCCGGGGCCACCAGAACTCCGACACCCCTGAAGCTGAGGGGAACGCCTTCGCCGATCAGATGGCCAAGGAGGCCGCCCTAAGACTGGTGGGGCCACTAGAGATCCTTCCAGTCCTTCCGGGGAAAAACCTCCCAAAGGGGCCCGCCTGTACCCAAGAGGAGAGAGAACTCAGACGGAGGCTCACCTGCAACCAGGGGCCGCGCGGCTGGAGGCTTCTTCCCGACGGGAGGATCCTCTTACCTGCGGCCCTAGGCCGAGAGCTGATCTCTCAGCTCCATCAGGGCACCCACCTGGGCAAGACTAAACTCTCCAGTCTCATAGCCCGGGACCTTCATGTCCCGAAGCTCAACAGATAGACAGAGCCTGAAATAAGATGCCCTGCCCGTGCCCAAGTCAACTCTCACCCTCGGGAAACAACAGACCTCGGGACCCGAGAACGAGGCACAGCTCCTGGTGACCACTGGGAAACTGACTTTACTGAGGTCACCCCTGGCCGATATAGTTATAAATATTTGCTTGTTTTCATAGATGCTACTCCGGCTGGACTGAGGCTTTTCCTACCAAGACTGAAACTGCAACCACGGTAGCCCGGTCACTGCTCTCTGAGACAGTCCCCCCATTTGGCATCCCTCAACTGTGGGGTGTGACAATGGCCCGGCATTCATTGCTCAAACCACAAAATTGTTAGCTAAAGCTTTAGGGATTACTTGGAAATTGCATGGTGCCTACAGGCCTCAGAGTTCAGGACAGGTAGAAAGAATGAATAGGACATTCAAGGAAACTTTAACTAAGCTCCACCTTGAGACAGGCGACAACTGGGTAAGTCTTCTTCCTTTTGCCCTCCTTCATGTGCACTGTACCCCTTATCTTAAGGGTTTCACCCCATTTGAAATCACATTTGGCCGACCTCCCCCTATTCTACCCCAAATCAGGGACGAGGTCTTAGCCAACCTGGGTAACCATAACCTTCTCAGCTCTTTGCAGGCAATCCAGAGGCTGCAAGAACAGACCCAACAGCTAATCAAGGACGCCAGACCCCAACCAGGGACACCCCAGATACCACCGCACGACTTCACCCCTGGTGACTGGGTCAAGAAACATCAACCTGCTTCCCTGGAGCCTTGCTGGACTGGCCCTTTTCCTGTTATCCTGATGACGCCCACGGCTTTGAAGGTAGCAGGACGGAAAGTTTGGATTCACCACACTCAGGTAAAGAAAGCACACCCTGTCCTGGCCGGTTTGGCTCAGCAGTTAGAGCTTTGGCCTGCGGTCCAGAGAGACCCGGGTTCGGTTCCCGCTGGGGGCATGTGCCTCGGTTGCGGTTTGTCCCGGCCCTGGTTGGGTTGTGTGGGTGGCGACCACTCGATGTGTCCCTTTACATAGATGTTTCTCTCTCTCTCTCTCTCTCCCTAAAAAAAGAGAAAGCACACCCTGAGCAAATACCTGAACAAGGGGCCTTACAGCGGACCGAGGATCCCCTGAAGGTAAAGTTCTCCAGGGATCCCTCCTAGTCTCTTTCCTGACTCTGATCGCCAGTAAGGCGCCTACCCAATTTAGATGCACATAAGATGCATCTAAATTGCTATGAAGGTTCGGGTCTCTGCCTGACCCTCAGAGACCTACAAAGACAGGAGACATGCTTTATCATCGGCAACTATTACCTAAGCTCTTCCCCTTATGTGTACTCATGCGGGGACACTATCAACCTAACCCCATTAAGCCCCTCATCACAAGAGACTTGGGTCCTAACTGCACCCCCAGGGACTTGGTTTGCTTGCGCCTCAGGACTGACTCCCTGCGTCTTTCCCGTTGGAACCAAAGACTTACGTATTCTTACTAACATTATTCCACAGGTTTATTTCTTCTCTGTTTAGCCTTAGGAGAAACCTGTTGCTTTTATGCTAACCACTCTGGTGTCATTAGGGAAAACTTAAGCCTGGTCAGAAAGCGGCTGAGCGAACGAGAAGCTCAGTCAGTCTCAGCCTCAGCCTCTAAGAACTGGTATGAGGACTTATTCGGCTGGTCCCCATGGCTCACTGCCCTTTCGGGCCCCTTAATTCTCCTCCTGTTAATGTTAACCTGTGGCCCAATCCTGATCAATTGCTTAATGCAATTTATCAGGGAAAGAATACAGACTGTTAAGCTCATGGTCCTGAGCACTCCTTACCAGAGACCAGCTACGGCAGAGGAGACTGAAGACACTTATCTAGATTCAAGGATTTGAATTAGCCCCAAGACCAGTGGGGAATGTGAAGGACAGACAATAGGGCAATAAAACAAAAGAACATACAGCTAAAGTACTGTGAAAACTTGTAGTTAAAATGTCCCACTTGGCAGACCTTGCCCTGGACCCTCAGAGGATTCCAGGAACTAGGGAGGAGGGAAGGAGACGGGCCTCAGCCGGAGCTGGCCACTACACTGTGCAAATACCCCTCAGACACATGGCTAGCTGCAGATACCCGCGTCTGTGCGTGCTTGCGTGCTCACGGACCTTAGCCCTTTCTTAACAGGGGCTCAGACAACTATATAAGCAGCCCACCCCCTGAGCTCGGGGCTGCTCTCTCCTCTGTGTAGGGGGACAGTCGCTGCGCGGCTAATAAAGCTCTCTTTGTTTAAACCCAGTTCAAAGTCTGACTCTGGTCTATACGTAGTATACTAGTATTACAGTCAAAGAACTAATTTCCTTAATATGTAAAGTGTTTTTACAGCTCAATAGGAAAATGACCAACAACCCAATGGAAAAGTGGGTGAAAGATATAAACAGTTTATGGAAAAGGAATTATGAATGACCCTCAAATATTTATTTCATTAAAAAATTTTTTTTTTCTTTATTGATTTTAGAGAGAGGAAGGGGGAGAGAGAGAGAGATAAAAACATCGATGAGAAAGAACATCAGTTGGCCGCCTCCTGCATGCCCCCCACTGGGGATTTGGCCCACAATTTGGGCATATGCCCTGACCAGGAATCAAACCAGTGACCTCTTGGTGCATGGGTCGACACTCAACCATTGAGCCACACTGGCTGCTACACCAGCTGGGCAACACTCAAATATTTTTAAAGATGCCCAACAGCCCAGCTGGTGTGCTCAGTGGATGAAGTGTTGTCCCATGGACTGAGAGGTCCCTGTTTGATTCCTGGTCAGGGCACATGCCCGGGTTGTGGGCTCAATCCCCAGTAGGGGACGTGCAGGAGGCAGTCGATTGATGATTCTCTCTCACATCAATGTTTCTCTCATATCTCTCTCTTCCTTCTTCTCTCTCTAAAAAATCAATAAAATTATTTTTTTTAAAAAAGATGCCCAACATCATTCATAAGAGAAATGAGGAAAAATGAAATCATTATTCATCTCCCAGTCTGCAAATAATGGAAAACTTTGATAATGCAAAAAGTCTATTAGGAAGGGTGTGGGAGTAAAAAATAGTACAACACTTAAGAGGACTAATTAGTTTCCTGGCCGGTTTGGCTCAGCGGCTAGAGTGTCGGCCTGCAGACCAGAGAGTCCTGGGTTCAACCTTCCTAATACCGCGACCCTTTAATACAGTTTCTCATGGTGTATGTGGGCGTATCTGCATGTGGGCGGACCCACCTGGAGATGGATAGAGGAGCGGTGTCTCAGTTTCTATGACCATCGGAAATATGTGTTTTCCGATGGTCTTAGGCAACCCCTATGAAAGGGTCGTTCGACCCCCAAAGGAGTCATGACCCACAGGTTGAGAACCGCTGCACTAGGTGTGTCTCTCTCACATCGATGTTTCTCTCTCTCTTCTTCCCTCTCTCCCTCCCACTCTATCTGAAGATAAATGCAAAAATATCCTTGGGTGAGGATAAAAAAAAAAAAAAGGCCAATTTGTTATATTTATCAAAGTTCAAACTGCACATTCCCCTTGACCATGCAAATCTACTGTATGTTTCCTTAAAGACCAAATCTCACATATGTAAAAATGATGCCTGAACAAGGATATTCTTTACAGCACTGTCTAGAATAGTGAGAAGAAACAAACAACCTAAATACACAATAATAATAAATCAAGTACGGACCAACCATACAGTGAAATGTTATGTAGCTATTAAAAAGAAAAAGAGCCCTGATCAGGTGGCTCAGTTGTTTGGAGCATTGTCCCATACACCAAAAGCTCGCAGATTCCATTCCTGGTCAGGGCACGTACCTAGGTCAGGGCAACTATGGAAGGCAACCAATCGATGTTTCTCTGTCATATTGATCTTTCTCTTTCTTTCTCCCTCTAAAATCAATAAAAACATATCCTCCGGTGACAATTAAAAAAAAAAAGAAAAGAAAAATTAAGAATGGCAAAATTTATTTTGTTTTGATATGGAGAGATTTCCAAACTACATTAAATTAAAAAACAAGATGAAAAGCAGTGTATACAGTAAACTACCATTTGTGAGAACAGGGGTTCATGCCAACTTTACTCAGTTCTCTAGGACCCAAGAAACCCCAGACAGCGTGTGGGCGACAAGTCCCACACACAACCAAATGCTTGCCTACCTCACCACTTCGCCTGGTTTAAGTGCAGTGGATGGTAGAGACATGTTCTCCAGGGTGGTCTGAGGGATTCAAGAGGCACCAACAGCCCAACTGATCAATTTCTCAGCTTTTTTTTTCCTTCTTAAATCATCTGAATGTTTTCCTTTTCGAACAAAGAAAAGGCCACATACGAAACCTGATGAGCTCAGGGGAAGCCCGGATGGTGGGCCTTACAAACCCAGAGACTGAAACTACCACACAGAACGGTCTGAATATAGATTCCTAACTAAAAGTGGGTCATGGTGGGTAGTCACATCCTAAGTCTGTATGTTCTTTGACAAAGGTCAATCTTGACTTTAAGTCTGTTGTCTTTTTTCTTTTTTAAATCCTCACCCGAGGATATTTTTCCATTGATTTTCAGATACAGTGGAAGGGAGGGAGGGAGTAAGGAGGAAGGGAGAGAGAGAGAAACATAGATGTAAGAGAGACATATCAGTTGGTTGCCTCCTGCACAACCCCAACCAGGGCCAGAGATCAAACTGTAACAAGGTACATGCCTTTAATGGGAATCAGCGCTCTAACTGATGAGCCAAACCGGCCAGGGCAAGTCTGTTGTCTTTTTTCTACTGTCCTTTTGCCTCTAAGACAACATGACTTTCAGTATGTCAGAGTCATCCCCCTTTCCAGACCCCTCGGGGCACATCTGCCAGAGCATGGGACCACAGAACCCTCCTTGTCAGCTCGTCCCCGAATACCATCTCTCTGTGCTGTAAATGTTCACTGTTAACTCTCCTGCACCCACCAATGTAAAGAAGCGTGTGTCTCTCCATTTTACTTTTTATCCAGTCCCAGAGGTTTCCCCCTTTGCTTTCTCCCGCCTCCCTAATCTACCACCAGTGGGTTTCACGTAACCCTCCTTACGTCTCCTCCTTTGATTCCAGTGCACAGAACAAGCTGCAAACTGCCGTTCTCTGGAGCCTTCTCATTGAGATTTTGCTTCTGGCAATTGTTGTCAGCTTGAGTCAAATAAACTCATAAGCCCTGGCCGGTTTGGCTCAGCGGTTAGAGCGTTGGCCTGCGGTCCTGAGAGACCCGGGTTCGGTTCCCGCTAAGGGCGCGTACCTCGGTTGTAGTTTGTCCCCAGCCCTGGTTGGTCGTGCGGGTGGCAGCCACTCGATGTGTCCCTTCACGTCGATGTTTCTCTCTCTCTCTGTTCCTCTCTCTCCCTCCCACTCTATCTGAACAAAAAATGGGAAAATGTCCTCGGGTGAGGATAAAATAAATAAATAAATAAATAAAAAATAAACTCATAAAAATTCTCTACAGGTCTGGACATGTATCACATTGATATCTTTCAGGCTGAGTTTCAGCCAAGGTAAACTTCGGGCTACCAGCCAACACGAACAAAGATAAATTTGACAAAGAAAACCAGTCGTTCCCATCCTCGGTACACCTACAAAAAGTTTTTACAGATTATCTGCACTTGTATTAATCTGCTTAGTCACTAGGACAGCTGTGTGTGGAAGGCAGCAGAGAGACTGGGGTGGTGAATTAGTGTCCTAGCTTTGTTACAGCTGTGACAAAAGACCATAAACTGGGTGGATGAAAATAACAGCAATGTATCCCCTCACAGCTCTGGAGGCCAGAAGTCTGAAATCAAGGTGTCTGCAGGGCCCTGGTCCCTCTGAAGGCTCTAGGGCAGGGCCCTCCTTCGCCTCTTCGGGCTTCTGGTGGTTGCCAACAATTCTTGGAGTTCTTGGCTGATAGACACATTATTCCCATCCCTGCCTCTGCTGTCACATGGCACACTTCCTGTGCGTCTCTATCTTTATATTCATCTCTTCTCTTGTTAGGACACCAGCCATACTGAATTACGGGCCCACCTACCTACTCCAGTATGATCTCATCTTGACCAGTTACATCTGCTCTAACCTTATGTCCAAATAAAGTCACATTCTGAGGTTCCGGTGGTTAGGACTTTAACATATCTTT